TCTATACCCATGTACATTCTCTGGTCTAGCCAGATTTGTAAGGTAGAATTATGGTCATGATAGTGGGGGGGGGAATGAAACATTAAAGAACCAGAGGAAAGCTGTATGTTTCATCGGTGCTATACTGCACCCTGACTGGCCCATATTCTCTGCTCGACCCTTCTGTAAGGGGATGTCCAATTGTCTACAGATTAGCTTTGGGCCTCCACTTCGCTCTCCCAGTCCTCCAATTCACACTGACATGATTTTTGGTTTGGGGTCTTTGATGCTTGATACCTGATCCCATCGACACCTCATGATCAAACAGGCTGGTGTTCTTCTTCCATGTGGGCTTTGTTGCTTCTCAGCTTAAGGAAGCAGATGGACATTGGGCCTCAATTCAAGTACTCCCACAACACAAGAATAGTTTGTTCTAATAATCCAGCATTCTGAGATGTTCACCTTTCCAACACAATCACTGAAGACAAATGGGCACATAAGCAAATGGGTGACAAAAGCTGATGGTGCCCAGCTATCATAAGATATAGGATCTGGGGTCTTAAAGGCTTGAAGATAAACAAGTGATAAATCTTTATGGAAGCAAATTGCTACATCTTTTTCCCAGAGTAGCTGATGGGTTTAACCACTGACCTTTTACATAATAGCCGAGTGCTTTAACCATTCCACCAGCAAGGCCTCTCTCTCAGAAACCCTAAGAGGCAGCTGGACTCCGTTGTTTAAACTTGGTGTACATCCCAAGGGGGTCGTAATAGATTGGAATGGAGTTGTAGCCACAAGTTTAGTTTGGGGGTTTAGGAGAAGCCTCGATATTTGTCTTTTACTGCCTACTCACTTGCTTTCTGTTTTTGATTCTTTCCTTAAAGTGAAACTAGAATTATGTTGTCATTTGGGGGCAGAAATGCTTCCTAAAACAAGCTCCGGAAGTCACTTAGTTATCCCAGGAAGGGAACTGAAAAATTCATTCTCTCTAAACATTCCAGAAAATCGAAGTTTGCCTAGCACAGTCAGAAGAACCACCAGGGCTTCAGCTCAAGAGTGATAAGGGCATTCCCAGTTCAAAGCTGTGGTGACTCCCACCTCGAAGACCACGAGACTATCTCTTCCTTCCTGCTATTGATTTTGCAGACTGCTGGATTGTCTGTGATCTTCACAATATCACAATGGTTCCCATGGGCATGGATGATGATGTCACAGAAGTGGGCACATAGTCTGTGGCCATTAGCAAATCAAAGGAGCAAACCCTTTGAACATGGCAACAGGAGAAGGACGGCATTCACAGTGTTTATGGAAGGCCCAGTACTCTAAGAACAGGATAAAAGAGAATGTAAGAAAGGCTGTGGGTGGAACAGAGAGTTAATCAATGGCTGTAAAATTCAAAAAGCACAAGGAATTTACAAGGAAATTAGACTGCAGAGGATAAGGATTGGAAGGGCATAAAGACATGGTTAGGAGCAAGGTAGTTTAAAAAGCAAGTTCCTAGCAGCCCTCCAAGAATGCTCATAAGTATTTCTTGGGTGGGTGGGTGGATGGATCGATGGATTGATCCAACGCTACAACTACTGAACACATTAACCTAAAAAACCGAACGCTGTTATTTCTTCATTGTTTAAACCAAAGACTTCAGAAAAATCTATGAAATCCCTTGTGAGTGCCTTGTTCCATTTTTACTTGTGGAGGATGTTAAGAATCCCCTCCATCTACAAGCTTGTTTCGTCAAGGGTTAAGAACCTCGTGTTTAAAGAAGTGCTACAATTATGTAACTGAGTGGTTCCACAAACTTTACACACACACACACACACACACACACACACACAGCCCTCCCGCCCCATTGGTAATGCCCTTTCTTCTCGCTCTCCCTCCCTCCCTGTGCAGTTCACCCATCTCAGGAGCCTGGCTGGTTGGAGGGGACTCTCAACGGAAAGACCGGCCTCATCCCTGAGAACTACGTGGAATTCCTCTAACTGTGGGCCCCCCAGCGGAACCGCTGAGCTTTACATGGTATCCATGACAACCGCTGATCCCCTTGTGGTAGACCATTTCTCCCTGCCACTGAGAAAGGCAAGGTGACAGACTGCTGATGCCTGTCAAGATGAACATTTCTGTGAGCTGTGGTGTCACCCATCCCCACGATCATCTCAGCTGACACGAGGCGATGCTGCTGGAGCCAGAAGGAAATCGGCACAGGAGGCCATTGGACTTGGATACCCAGAGAAAGGCTGGCAAAGGCATTTCCTCCTGAGCCTCATGAGCACCACACAGAGGGAGCACTCGCTTTGGTTCAACGGTCGCCCAAACCCCAACAGGATGAAAGAGGAAGTAACATAAAATAGTCCCCAAGACCACACAGTTGAGCTGAATCCTGTAGGGGTGGGTGAAGGAATTGGCACCGAGATCCAGGCTGGGTCTGTGGCATCTGTTTACAGTAGGCACTCTCTCTGCCCCACCTCTCAACCCTTAGACCCACACTGCTGCGGCCGCCTGTCCGTCTGTGTGGAAAGGGGTTAGGGCGCTGTTCACATAAGAGCCAATCTCTCACCATCTCTGAAGCAGCAGTGGGCCCCTTGTCAGCAGAATCCAGTGGAGGCCTCTCATGCAAAGGCACACACACCCCGCCCCCAAGAAGAGAATTCATCTGCCACCTAGAGGGCTGCCATCACCTAGTAACCATGGCAACTCAACCTACTCAAAAAACAAAACAAAAAATAGCACACCCTCTTTGCATGGCACGCTGTTTTTTGGGTCTAGTTTTTTCCCACCTTTTTGGTAGTTTTCTAAATGGCTTTCCAACAACGTGAAGCGGAAAAATCAAGGGATTGGAGTCGTCCACTTGACGCAGACTGCAGAACAGCCGGGAACTACCTGTCCCCTTTCTGATGTCAGCAGTGTCGGGCTATATAGGGCGCACACTCCGCTCACTTCTCCAGATGAATTACAGACTGGCTGGATATTTGTGTTCCTCCCTGCAGCTGCTTTCTAGAAAGCAAGCTGCTACTTCCCAGTGAGGGTCGCTGTCCCTTCGTCTGACCTCCTCTTCCCTGTGGCCTCCTGCCCACCCCTCCCGGACCTGCCTGCAGCCTGGGTGCAGCCTGTCACTCAGGCAGATCTGCACTGGTGGACTTCTGGCATATTTGGTTCACTCACTGCCGCTCAGAAAAAGGGAGTTCTCAGACCAGACAGGCACGGGTCTAGTCTCAGGCCCTTGTGAGTCAGACGACCCCCAAAGGTTGGAGGCTGGCAGGTGAAATGGGGATCTTCTGAGAAGCAGCATTCCCAGGTCAGGGGTGTCGTGGGCAATAGCGGACAGCTGTCCTGGGTGGGAAAGGAAGGCTTGGATAGGGCAGGCTCACTCGGCCTCCAGAGAACTGAATCTCTTCACAAGAGTGGCTCTGGCACACTGACGACAACCCAGTGGCCCGGGAAGCTTCTTAGGCTCCCCTGGGGTGGCAGCACTGTTCCGGAAAGGGTTTCCATCCCTTCTGGGATTTCTATTTAGGGAATTTAAAAGAAGAAAAGAAAAAAAACTTGAATTGTGTTGAGTTACTGTATCTTTTACTTTTTTTTTTGGAACAAATAACTTGTAAATAGTGTGATTTAAAGTACTATATGGCAAAGTTTTATATTTGATATTCTTTAAGCTAGTGGCTCCACACGTTGAAGCTCTGATCACTGAACAAGCTGTGCATAAGGAGGGGAGAGGAGGCAACCCCGAAGACAGCGCGGGCCTCCCCGCTCCGGCCGGAGAAAGGAGAAGTCATCCACCTGTGTCCGCTGTCTGCTCGGGCTGATGGGCACGGCAAGGGGACGCACCTGGCCGCCTGAACTAGAATTTCTGTCTGAGCATTTCTCGGGCTTTGGATTGAGACTGTGGTGGAAAGAACTCTTGCAGCAATGGGCTCTTCTGAGAACGTCCTGTTCGTAGTAAGGTAAAGCTCAGGATTTCTATAGGTAGGGCGAGGGGTTAGATGTTCTTAGATTTTCTTCTCAGGTATCCTTGTTCTCCTAAGACAGCAGGACAGAAGGCACTGGGACATTGCTGTTCTCCTTACATATTTTCTCCACATCATTGAAGGCTTCCTAATCAAGGCCGAGCTGGTTTGCAAATGTAGCGAGTATGTAGAGTCCTGGGGGGAAATTGTTTGCTTCTTAGAATCATTAGTTGTTGAGGTGGCGCTCCTCTCCCCAAATATGTTCATGTTCTTTCCGCTCAGATTCCCCCATAACCCCCAAGTAAGAGCGACTCCAAGGGAGGATGTGGATGGTGATGTCGTAGCCCTGCAGGCAGCTGTAACGAGCATTAGAGCCCATCGCGTCCTCCACGCTTCAGTTTATCAGCTCAAGGATTAGAAATGTACCCATGGAATCAGGGAGCAAGAATTAACAAGGGACAAGAACATGAGAGGACTCCGAAGCTACCACCAAACAAGGGCATAGACTAATTTGCGAGAGCTGCTCCCATGAACTTGGAACAGCTTGAGGAACGGTCCTGAGAGACTATTTGGGCTTTCCAACAGAACGAGCCCAAGGTCATACCTTCAACACATTTGGCATTTTAAATGGTCACCTGCCCAACGGAAACCATAAGTGGAGCTAATGCGGAGGACCACAAGGATCAGGCCCCAGTCTGGGGATTTTCTCACCCAAGTCTGTCTGTAAGCACTTGTCCCCTGCTTGATCATTTGGAACCATATCCCTCTCTCCTAAGCTGGCCATTGCTGGCAGCCAGAGGGACATGGAGCTGCTGCCAGCAGGCATTTTTAGGTAGACCCTTCCCAGCATCCTTGTAGCCAGGCTGGGCCTATGGAAGATGGCGGTCAGTTTCTCTTCCCCAGCCTGGCTCATCTGCTCCCCATTAACTGCAAAACTGGAGAAACCCTTCTGGAGATAAGCCGGCAATCAGGAAGGAGCATGAAGACTATATACATATAATTTCCCTCTCTCTTCCTTCACGGCCCCAACATTCCTAGCTCTCAGCGTACAGTCCAGGGGAAGGAACGGGGTATCAGAGTGGAGGCCCATCTCCCAGGAGTTCTTTAAGGTCCTGGGCATAGCCGAGGAGCCCTGCTAGTGTAGTGCTTATGCCTTGGGCTGCGATCTACATAGTCGGCTGTTCAAAACTCCCATCAATTCCACAGGAGAAGATTGGTCAGTCTGCTCCCCTAAACAGTTACCTTCTCGGAAGCCCACAGGGGTCACCATGAGTCAGCATTGACTCGATGGTTGTGAGTTTAGCTTTTGATGTGGACCTAGCCTCAGTCTTGGTAGGGCATTAGACCTTTCTCTCACATGCCCCTGGGGTACCCTTCAGGACTCTGTAGCTCAAGAATGCCCCGCCTTGGGAAGAGTTCATTTTCATAGGGAGGTTTTCAAACCCCGACCTGACCCAAGTGGATTCTTGTCTTGCTCAAAACTGATGACATTTTTCTCTTATTTTTAACACACAGTATAAGAGATACAGAGAGATGAACCTTGAATCAAAGCCTTTCTTGACACCTTGGAATTCGAGTCCACTTTTAGCTAACTGTCTTAGTATTTTTGCAGTCAGTATATGTTTGCTATGTCAGACCAGACAGTTTATTTCAACACAAGTTCAGACCCCCCATGGCTTGCTGAATCCTTTTTGGACAAACAGGAAGAGAGAAAACAAGTCCGTGTTAGTGAGCAGGTTGCTTCCAGCTCTTCCCACAGACAGAGACTCGGTCCCAGGCCTCTGAGCAACCCTGCTGGAGCTGCTAGCTGAGCATTGGATTGCTAACCATGAGGTTGGTGGTTCAAACCCATCAGTTTTTCTGCAAGAGAAAGATAGGGTAGTCTGCTCCCGGAAAGATCTGACAGCCATGGAAACCCTCTATGGGATGGCTGTCTGTCAGAACCATCCTGGTGGCAGCGGGTGTGAGATTGGGACCAGGACTCCAGAGATGAGTATGCCATCCCTGCAGGTCAAAGGGAAGTCCTTCTGGCAACTGAGCTCATGACCCCTGAAAACTCCCAGCCTGGTTACACCAAGAGCTTTGTCTTAACTATAGAGAGTCCGGAGAGCCAACAAGAGGGGTAGGGGGGAGGTGTCGAGAAACAAGACAGAAGAAGCTACCGACAACCTGATTGCTCTATTCGTGACTGTCCGCACTTTTCTTCCTCTGGCTTCTCCACAAAAAAAGCTCTCTCCCTTAGTTCTATAGACAGAGGATTCACAGGCACAAGAATGAGCCAGAAGAGCCCACCGTTTGCCCCAGGATTGAATGTCTTAAGAATATCTGTATTACCAAAGGTGGTAGCCAGTGCTGACGAACCCCAACAGCCTCTTAGCTACCGGACTTGACAAGGAACGTCCGAGGACGGAAGTTCTGTTGTCTCTGGAAAACTGGACAATAGTCAATTGCCGTGACCACCTGCCTCCCATCCCTTTAAAGTCAGCCAGGCGTCCTCTCACACACCCTGGGCAGGAGTTTGAAACCGTCATCCTGTGCTCAGATGTGTCTGGCAGCTGATGTGCTGGGCCCTGGGTCCCTGCTCTGTGATTGTGGCCTCACAGTGACAACAGCAGCAGAGCCCGGAGCCTCGCACAACCTTCCAGCAAAGCTGAGACGAGGCTCCGGCAAGTCATGGTTAGCTTTTATTTTTTCTGCCCCTTTTCTGCCTCATTCAAGAACTTCCCAAAGCAGACAGGGAAGGCCGGTGGTCCGCATAGGCAGCCCCGGCCGAAGGACAGGCACCTGTATTCTCAAGGAGAACAAGCATTAGAACTGAAGTCATGTCAGAACCAGAGAGAGATTGGGGAGGACATTGAACAACTTTGAGGAATATTTTTACAAAGACAAGAATCCTTAAGTTGGTGGGGGGGGGGTGGGGAGAAGACCAGAAAATCACAATTAGTATTTTCCCCAAAGCTTTGCAGGATATCACAAGAGGAAAATGACTTCCAAGACAGAATGGTTTTGCAGAGATGTGGCACTTTCCAAAACCTGCGTAAGGGAGCAATGCTTGTCAACATTCCCTGTTGTCCACACACTGTTGGGCTTCCTGGGAGCAGGCCTGCAAGAGCCAGGAGTAGAAGTTCCTCCCACGATGTCTACAAGAGTCACCCAGACAGACACCGACAGTCAGCTCTCAGGGGTATCCAGACACCAGGGCCAACCTTGGGTCTATAAAAAGAGCTACATCTAGCGGCTCGAAAGCATTTGTGTGTCCATGTGTGTCTTCCTATGTGTATATAGAGGGCATACTTACATGTGTAAAGATATACACTATCACAGAGAAACCTTCCCAAGCTGAGCCCTCTCAGCCTTTGGGATTTTGAGTTGGAGAATAAGGGAGATGAGAGAGCCTGCTGATTGACGATCAGAATAAGCATCACGCAAGGAAAGGAAGTGCCCTTTGAGAACTGGGGTCATATTTATTAAATGGTTATTCTCTGCAGCTACCTTCTGTATTAACTTATTAAAAGTCATGTCGAAAGAAGGGCGGGGGAGATCAAACTCATACATGCTTAGTAGCTAAAGCTAGGCTAGTGTTCAAAAGCACTCTAAAAAGACATTTTGTCCATATTTTGGAGAAGAAAATATTTGCATGTCTCATTCATATTTAGGCTACCGTTGAGTAAACTGTAAAGTGCCGTGTGATATATCAATAAAGTACTTATGAAATGGCACCTTCATGTTTAAAAACAAGAAACCATAACTGCACTGACGTGTGGGAATCCCACGCCATCATTAAGTGCTCTGTGACTAGAGGAGAACTTTTGCTCTGTTGTTAGTCAAACACTTCTGCCACACGTAAGCTTAAAAAAAATTTTTAAAGCGTGTTTTGCATCCCTCCGCCTATCTATGAAGAAAACATGATTTCTTTGGATTGGCCTTTGCAGCTTGGCTTGCGTCCATTAGATTGGTTTATGTGACAATCCCTATGAAATGAGTAAAAGTCTGATATTGAATTTTTCCATTTGGTGGTGTGTCTGTTTCTTGAGCTTCCACTAAAGAGTTGTGTGTTTTCCTTCACGCGGCCATGATCAAGGTCACTAGTCTGAGCCCGCAGTTGCTGGGGCAGCCTGTGTCCATGTCCACGGCCGGGTTTGCTGGGGCCCTCTGCCCACCTGGGTCCCATGAGGAAGCCATGAGGACCAGTGCACAGTTGAGCTATTGGACATTCTACATACTTAAAGCACAGAAGAGTCATATGAGGGCGCTTCAAACACTCATGAGAAAATGGAAGCGGAGGAGAGAGCGGCATTTTCCCAGGAGCTTCCTGAAGCTCCTTTGCATGATCGTGTGTCTCCTAGAATACAAACTGCCCTACTCTTCCAAAATTTGATTTCCCAACAACTTCGAGTTTTCTGGACCTTTTGGGATGCAGGCTGGAACACACAACGGGCCAGCATCCAGCCAGGCTCATCACACAAAAGGGTCATGTTCCACCAAATGGTACATAGAGCAGTTGTTGAGAATTGGTGGCACATCTTCAAAGGACTTTCTCCGAAAGTCCCAGGGGCAGTTCTACCTGGTCCTACAGGGTCGCTGTGTGTCACAATCTCCCCCATGGCTGAGGTTTGGGAGCTCAGGGAGGGAAATACATGTTGTTATTGTCTATGCTCCAAGCCCTATGGCTTTTGTTTGGCCAACTCAGAAGAGTTGCTGGGTGTCCCAATCAGTGATATTGATGAAAGTCTTCACGTGTGCAGTCATTCTTATGATGTTGTCCCCAAATCATGTCTTTGTGCCCCCTAAACAACCCCTTTTCCTTTCCCTGCGACCCTAGTAACTACTACTACTAACCCTGGGTTTCTCATATAAGGGGAATCATGCATGTTTGGTTGACTTCCGCTCAGCGTGATGTCCAGTTTCATCTCTACTATGGTGTGTGTGAGACCTTCATTTCTGAACGAGGAGGTCCCCGGGGTTGATCTCATCCAGTGTAGTATTAAATCATGGTGGTGCCACCAGCCACCCATCTCTTCCAATACCAGACCAGATTCCTGTGTAATGGTTATAACCCATTTTACCATGAGAAAGGTGTAAATTGATTAAATATGGACTTAGTTCATATGAATGCTAGCAGCCGAATAGTATCACGGTATCTACATTCAACAGTGGCATTTTGAGTCACAGCATTGCTAGTCCTGAGCAGAAGCCTTTAAAGTTTTCTGCTTTTTCTATGATGTTACTACTTCATCTTCAAAACAGTTCTTGTCACCACTTTATAAACATAACCACAACACTAGCTAGAACACCAGAAGATTTTATAATATGGGCTGTAATACACACACTGGCAGTAACAAAGACAACACAAGGTGTAACCAAACCTCATGATGCCACATGCCACTGTAATTGGGTTATAGTGACATCTCTGACCGGAGTCCATTAAAATACTCACAAAGGAAAGTGAGCCTAGGGTTTTAGCCAAATGTATTCCAACCTGGAAGCTGGGCTCAGAAAGTGAGTTTCTTTTGTTTTAACGAACTATAGGGCTATTTTTAATTTTCAAAATGGCATTCCTAAAACTGCACAGAAACTGTGTCAACCATTGTTTGGGGGCCAGCCCCTCTGACAGTGTCACATGGCATCACCTGTAGCCCCTGTATCTCCTCCTGGGGCCTAGTGTGTATATACCACCTTCTGTATGTTCGCCTGGTCACGGCTCGCTTGGTGGTTTCTGCTCCTGAGCAATTGTGCAAAGCGCAGCGATGAGCATTAGCATCTAGGCGTTCTTGCCCGACCTTCACATCTAGCCTTGTGCTTGCGGGCTCACCTCGTGGTTCTGTTTGGACACGTTGAAGAGCCACCCGCTGTTTGACCATCGCACAGTCCCCTCGGCTGTGGATGAGGGGGTGGCTTTCCTGGCTGTTTAATGTGAACGACTTTTGTTTTCATTTTGCTTTTCACAGGAGCTCGGGGCTGGGCTTCCACTGGGTCACATCGTGTGGTTTCTCCTAGGTTTTCCTCACCATAGAGACCATGGGAGACATGAATGGTTGGCACTTGCAGCGATGTAAATGTATGATGGAGGGCATCGTGAACAATATTCTCAGACCTCAAACATGGTGGCTCTCTTGAACATTAAACCAGACTGTCAACTCTTTCTTCCCACTTCTTTCTCAGCCTCCACTAGACTAGCATCCATCTCTCCGATCCACTCTGCCAGTGCCATTGCTGTGCCCTGCTTTTTATAGCACGAAGCTCAGCTGAAACTGCTTAACTACAAGCTAGGTAGCCAAATGGAGGGGGTTGTCCCTCCCCGTGCCTGCAGGCCCCCAGAGAGGAGGTTGGGAGAGAATCAGGTGAGCCTTAGCCACCCATAAAACTTTACCTGGGCATGCTCCAATTCAAGCCCCCCAAGCCAAGTGGGTGGTACACCAAGTGGCCCAAACTAAGCCCAGGTAGGCTTAATTCAGCCAATGGGGCCAACCAATACCTTCAACCACGCCTCCCCAGCCACAGATGTAAATACCTCTGCTGCAGGCCTGTCAGCCCTTTTTACCTGTCGGCCCCTCAGCTTTCTCCCCTTGACCCTGCTCCTGTGCCCACTCAGCCGGGCTGTGGTCTGTCTGGCCTCAGGTCACCGTGAGTGGGTGAGCAGTCCCACGGGGTTGCCTGTGTCCAGTGGTGAGCCCCAGTGCGCTTCCCCGAAATAGCATGTACTCCTTTGAGACTTTAAAGCCTGAAACTTCTGTCTTTTATAAAAATCCACTTGGATCGCAAACCAGGCTTCGGCGTGAATTCTTTCTCATTTGAAGCCAAGAACCAAGGAACTTCCCACCTGAGAAATCTAACAGGTTAGTCTTGTCAGTATTGCCTGGGTTTGGCCTACACGGCATAGCGATCAGGGGCATCCCGTAACTATTCAGGGTGGGTGAGGCCCGCCAGGTGGAAGCCTGCTTGACCACTATCGTGTGAGAGGAAGCCACAGTACTGGGTACGCACTGAATGAACATTCCTGCCTTGCCATGCCTACATGCCAGACTCACTGCCGTGAAGGTGAGGTCCACACAGCAGCCCTGTATGGCACGGTAGAACTGCCTTGTGCGTTTCTGAGACTAACTCACTCTTTATGGGAGTAGAAAGCCCCATCATTTACCTGGGGACTGTCTGGTGACTTCAAACTACTGAACTTAACAGCCCAACATGTAACCAGGGCTCCTGGTTAGCATCAGACAGTGGAGACCAAAGCAGAAAGGTTTGAAATTGCACATGCAGCCATGACCCAGGACATCCCACACGCAGCCATGGCCCATGACATCCCACACGCAGCCATGGCCCGCGACATCCCACACGCAGCCATGGCCCGCGACATCCCACAGCTCTTAGCAACTCCTGCCACTGCATCTGTAACATCCCTTTAAGTAACTGACCCCATGAGGCTGCCCTCGGCTCTATTTGCTAAAAGCCCTGTGGTTAGTGTGTGTCCCTGAGGCTGCTGGGTAGCAGTTCACATTACCCTCCAGGTTGTGGCCCACCTACAAGTCACCTTTTCTCCGGACACTCTGCCTGTATATCTTTCATTTGTTTGTTTCATGGAAATGAAAATATATTTATTTATTCGTGATCATTATTGGTTTTGCAAGGTCAAAGATTTCAAAAACAAATTTTAAGCAATAGGATTTTCCTAAGTTAAAAAAAAAAAAAGAATTAAACCCAGAAGCAAACTTGTAACCCCCCTCTAGCCGATGGAGACACTGAAGGCATCTTGATTTCTCTCTGTGTCGGCAGCTATGGATGTTGCAAGACCCATCTCTCTATTTGCAGGAGCTCTGGTGGCATAGTGGTTACCCGCTGAACTGCTAAGTAAAAGCTCAGCAGTTTGAATCCACCAGCCACTCCTCCTGAGAAAGATGAAGCTTTCTACCCCTAAGAAGAGTTGCAGTCTGAAACCCACAGGTACAGTTCCCCTGCCCTATCGGGTCACCTTGACACAGAACTGGCCCCATGGCAGTGAGTTTAAGTTTTGTAATTCATCAGTATTTGGTGGCAGAGTGGTTATGTGTTGGGATGCAAATCACAGGATCAACAGTTCAGAGCCACCCACTGTCTCTTGGAAGAAACACAGGCTAAAGAGTTACAATCTTGGAAAGCCACAGGGGCAGGTCTACTACCCTGTCCTATAGCATCACTAGAGGTTGGAATTGACTTGATGGCCGTGAGTTTGGTTTGGGGTTAACTATGTATTTAACCCCGCTTCATGGTACTGTCTAAGCTTCGTTTTCGTGCGCCTTTAGTTCCTCATAATTTTTGTTTTGTTTCTGGCTGTATATTCTTTTGACATTTGGAGGTAGCTTGTTACAAAAGCATTTCAAAAACCAGCTGTTTCACTGCCTGTTCTGATTCTTCTTTGTGGAAAAACAAGCTGGGTTGGAACGCTTGCTTTGAAGGAGATGAAGGAACGGTGGTCAACGGTAGTGGTTTTCCGTTTCCAATTCCTTTCGGTATCACACGATGTTTGTCCTTTCTAGTATTTTATACCTATAAGTAATTCGCAGTCTGTCATACAACGGGCTCGGTGCCTGACTCCTTTTCCATGAACAGTTCCATAGTGCCTGAGTCCTTGTCTGGTCCACCCACCTAGCACAGTGCCCTGGACCTGGCAGGAGGACCTGGCACAGAGCAGGTGCCTGGTAACACGTGTGGATGGTGGACTGAGGAAAAGGTAGGCTGTAGTCCCCAGTGTTTTGCTGCAGTTCTGGTGAAGAAGAGACTTTGGGGGACATTATGTGTGTCCTCTGCAATGAGGGCTTTGTGACCCTCGGCAAGCTGCCCACATCCTCAGTTGCAAACGTGCTAGAGGGAGATGTCCGACTGTCCGTCAGGCACACACAGCCACATCCTTTCCCAGCTTCCTCATCCAGTGCTCGGTACAAGAAACCATCTAGACAACCAGCTGACCAGGAGTCAAGGACCCCCTCACTGTCATCTCAGTAACGCGGGGTGACTTGTTTTATGCACCACACA